CTCCCCTCCCCTCCCCTCCCCATCACCATCTACACATTTTTCTGTACCTTCTTCATTGTCAAGGAAGGGTCAGTCCTTATTTGGAGGGACAGGAACTAGGACAGGACCAGGGCAGAAAGCCAAAGAAATCCTGCTGTGGCTGGAGGTAGAAAGGGCAGATGTGATCACTGCTACTGCTGCTGTACTGCATCCCTCTGGTACACGCTGGCACTCCTTTACACTCTCTCTAATCCCACAAAGGCAGTCAGAGCAGCATAGATGGTACAAACAGGAGGCAGGAACGAGCTGCTTGGCTGAAATGCCTAATCCCTCTCTCTGCAGGCACAGGCAAAGTAGCCTGCCACCCCCTTCAGTCTGGCACCTTTCCATTTTGCTATTTGTCCTGGTTGGAAACGCATCCTGTGCCCCATACCACCACCTGGAACACTATCCTGGGCCCTGAAAAACAAGTCTTATGGCTTCAGAATGCAACAATACAACACCCCACTGGGAGGGGAACGAACGAGCGGCTGTGTGGTGCTTAGTTGCCAGCTGGGGTAAACCACAACACTATTCAAAGCAAATTCTGACTTCATGCCTTTCTTTCATCCACAGAAGAAGCTGAGCCAAAGCACCAAACCTAAACACCTGCAAGCTGCAGGGGAGTTTATATTCAGAGCTGAACTGTGGAGCCCAGAACCATCTCTAAAACTGTTGAATGGGTGTAGATGTGTTCTGAATTATTGACTCATTGTTTGAAGGAGAAGGCCTGCTTGGCAGGATAAACAATAAAAAGCCACTCTTCATAAAACTAGGAAGCAAATGGCAATGAGGATGAGCATAATGCACTGGTAATTTCTGCACTCCAGGCTTTAGAGTCCTCTCAGAAAGGTGCCAAATGCACATTTCTTTGTACAGCTCAGATGAATTGGATGGAACCAACTGCAAATAATCCACAGTACTTGGGCATTGTCTCCTGTCGGTTCCCCACGTGGCAGCACATCAGCTGAACTGTACCACAAACTGAGCAGGGGTCTGCTTGCAAGAGGTGGGGGGGAGTAAAGAGAAAATCACCACAGACATCTACCAAAGCAAAGGCAAATCAGGGGCCAGTGCTAGATCTGGTATTGCCAGAGAATTGACCTGACAGTTGTTACAGAGATTTGTTAAAGCTGACAGCAGAGTCCAGAAAGCTTTGTCATCACTAATCTAATCCCTAATCGAAACCAAAGGGCCTGGAAAGCAGCCAGTTACTTTCTGCGAGGGTTCTGGGCTGTGTGAGGAGGGTACCCGCCTGGCTGCCATCGTCTGTCAGCTCTCAGAGCCATGCTGGGGCTGGGTGGGCAGCCAGAGCCACCTGAAGTGGAGAAAGAGTTTCCACCCAATGACCAGAAGTTCAAGGGCTGGTCAGCAACACTGAGATACTGACTGGAGTCAAGATCTGGAGATACCTGGACTAATGTTGTGAGATCTCCTTTCTGGCAGAAAATGCTCCTCTGTGCACAAGATTCAAGCTTCTTTTGTAAAAATGTTCTGTTTTCACTGAAATTGAATTAATTATTTTGTCAGATTTGAAAGCAAGAGACCTTACAATAGCCCAGGTGTGGCATTCAGATGAAACAGGGGCTAGCAGGCATGTTTCAAGTGGGCTTGAATAAATCTGAGGTAAAACAGTCAAGCTACCTGCAGGGTTCCCTTGTAAAATCAGTACTGTGTTTTGGCTCTCCTCCTTCCCCAAATGCTTCCTCCCTCTAAAGTTAGCATAGTCTCATGGTGGCCAGGCCACCCACAGCACAGCTCCCTGGGGCCCACTGAGTCCTGAGGTACACAGCACTGCTGAAGCTCAGCTGTGCAGATGTTAGGAGCCACTACTCCCGAGTTTTCATTTTGCTCTGGCTAATAAAATGCTTAAAGTAAATGGAGAGATACCTTCGGGTGTGTTTGGAGTTACTCTGACTGCTGGGAAACTAGTGGCTCTGCAGTAAAAACACAGGCAAGGAAGATCTTAGGCCAAATAGCTCAATTTTCAACTACAAAGCCAATTTCCCTGCTTATCAAAGGACTGTTTTTCTGGAGCACAGGTCTCCAGAATTCACCACCCAGGACTGTATCACACTGAATCCTAAATGTCTGGATGGCAGCTGAGCCCACCAAATCACAGAGGCTCTTCCCAGCCATGTCAGCGGGATTTGGGTCAGGCAAAGTAGATATGACTTGGTAGCAGCTGCATGAGAGTGATTAGGTTATAAAAATCGATGAGTGTATTTTATATTTCTGTAGGACATTAGCACTTCCTGCAGCTCCCCTTGTTAGCACCCTCCCATGAGGAGCGCCGTCACGCCTGGGACTTCGTGTGGCCGTTCCAAGCACATCCTATCTATCCAAGCCTCTTGGGAACTAATGACTTTATGCTGCACATTGCATGAAAGAGTTCATATGTACATTTCCATGGGCGCAACACACGTAGAGAAAAATGAGATTAAGTAAAAGTGTTTCAGCTGCCCTTCAAATTGATAATTTCATACCTAGTAATCTGAAAAAGCTACGCAGTGTCTCTGCGGAAGGGTGGGAACAAGACTCAAGGCACTTTTCTTGAAATCCAATCCCATATTTTGATTTACAGCATAATTATTACAAGATTGCCAACACAAATACCAAACATTAGGATTTTTAGTCCATATTCAAACTGCTACATCAGTTTTCACAAGCACTGAGGAATTAAAAAGACTACTCAAAGTGAATGAGTTGCCAGGTTGTCATACTTCTGAACAGTAGACCTTGAATAAGAAGCCTGAATATGGAGTTAAAAGACAATGTTAAGCCACTGTGTTTGAAAATCTTGGCCAATAGTCCTTAATATTTTTGTAAAAAAAAAGGATAGTGTGCTCATACATTTCTTACAAGCTTTCTTTTCCCCCTAGGGACCAACTTAAAATCAAGAAAGTAACAACGGGCCTAACACAATCAGGAAATCTAGGTCTCTTAAAGTGAAAAGCAAACAACCTGTCCTTCTGCCCCTTCCTGAAATCTAAATGTAAGTATATCCAGCTTTGAAATCCTAAATGAGTTGTACATATTGCCAAAAAAAAAAAAAAGAGCAAAGTCTTAATACTGAAGTTGTCTTAAAGCTATCATATGCATGGGATTTGATAAGTTAATTCAAGTGTTTGCTGTACACTCAAGCTTTTTAATTTTGAGTAGAAAAATAGATGGTACATAAATTTTGGTGATCATCCTCAGCAGCATTTTTTTCCCTAGATAATTAAAGAAATCTACCCTTTCAGTCATTCTACATTGTTTAACGGGAGAGAGCATGGAATTTTGGCATTTCACGTTTGTTTAAAGAATCTTGTTTTAAATCTATTTTTACGGTCAGGAAAGAGTAAGGAAAAAAGAAACGTCAAAAAAGATTATATCCTGGGAACAGAATGAACCATGCTATTGATGTGCTTTTGATACCCTAAATGCATATGTACACGTGTCTGCTTCCATATGTATGCACATGCAGAAATAAACAGCAGCAACAGTCATTGGGAAATCCATGTTTAATACAATGTTTAGTTTGCTCAATAATGGGAAGAATATGTTAAACATCATTCTGAGCCTTAATGGAAAAGTTTCTGACAACTAGACATTAGCTCATAGTATCCACAGTCATCGTATGCCTATGATTATTGTTTGTTATCAAGTGTGACTTTTGGAAGAAAAAATACATTATTGCTTAACAAGCTGCATTGCAGTAGTGTCCTGCACTCTGTTTTGGTTTCTAGATAGCTAATTAAAAGAACCCACATGTTAAGAATTAATCACTTAAATTCCTTGGACTTTCTGAACATCTTTGAAGGAAGATGAGTGCCACATTTGATCCAGTTTTTCCCTTGTGGAGAAATCCTACACAACATGTCTGAAATGAAACCGGTAGAGTCACATGAACATGACTCTAGAAACACAGACCCCGGCTCTGTGAACCCACAGAACTTCTCCAGGCTACCAGCATCTCTTGGCAGTGGCCGCCCCTGGAGCTGTCCCTGGTAACCATCTCACCCGGCATTGGCTGCTGCCACCCACCCTACCTCGGGTGCTATAAAAGCCTAAGGGAAAAAAAAAGCAATAAAACAACAACAACAACAACAACATTGTATAGCCCAAGGCTCCAGCTCACAAAATATTAATAGAGATAAAACACTTCCCAGCTAGTATTTACATTCTCCCAGAGCATCTATAAGAAAATTTGAGAGCCCAATCCACCCAGCAATACAACAGCCATCCAAGGATGGCAGTGGCCTTTGGTAACTCGGCTGCAAAGTTTTGACAGCAGTTGATGAAAAGACTGTATAAGAGCACTGCTTCTTTTATTAGTAATTTCTTCAAACCTTTCAACAAAGATCTGGTGTTATAGAATAATATGGATCACTTTAAAAAAAAAAAAAGTATCACGTGTTCAGCATTTTAGAGTCCTTCACCTACAGCAGACGAAACAGTAATAGCAGCTATTGAATATACTTTCTACACAGAAAAAAAGCAAGAGTTAAGCTAAGCATTACAAATTAGCACCTGCTAATTTTCATGTGTGGAAAAATTGCTTTGAGAAAAACAAACACTTTCCTCAAGAATTCACAGATATCAGGGACAGAGAATTAAAGGGAAAAAAGCCTTTTAAAAGGGTTGAAAGTTCTGGGAAATGTTATTATTTCCTTTTAAAAAATCTATTCCAGTGAATAGAGAAGAATTTCAGCAAAACATTCAGATCTGGATAGAAATATTCCTCAAATTAAAAGGAAACAAAGCCCTTTATCTGTAGGAAGAATACAGAAAATTTTCAGACTTGAGCATCAACTGGCAGATAGACTTGAAAGGCATTTGGGTCCAATAGAAGTCCTGAGCTGCTACCAAAATCAACAGTCTAATTGTCTCAGCTGAAACTGGGGCTTAGCTTTTGGGTTTCCTGTAACTAAATCTTGCCACAAACAGCTCTGCTAAGTTTTTCCTCTAATAAAATAAAATACAGCAAAATTAAGATAAATACAAGAGACAATGAAGATAAGAATGTAGTTCCCAACATAAGGCAGGGAGCAGATGTTAGAGAAAACTCCTGAAGATATAAAAATAGTACTTGTCAGTTCTAAATGGTCAATAAGACAGTTCTTTAAAAATAAACAATCAAACATCTGAAAGTAATTGCTAGACTAAGGGATTTAAGTTTATTTTATTTAAGCAATAAGGTATTTTAAAAATGTACTCAAAATGTCTAGCTTGCTTCAAATTGCTTAGGTTTTCTGCACAGTGTCATGGTAGTCACTACCCACCCAAATGTGGTATTTTAATAATATTTTTTAAATTGAAAAATGACAATTGAAATGAAGAAAGCAAAACTATTCAGAAAAGTTACCAGAATGCACAGTTTAACTTCAAACACTTTCTAATCTGATCAGGAAGGAGAATGAAAAAAATGCCTTGTGCTGAATTCAGAGACACTGAGTCAGGTGGTAAAGTTATACAATTTTTTGTGGGCTTACTGAGGTCATATCTCAAACTCAAAAGAAACACTAAGCCACTGAAAGTAATGTTTCAGTTTATATAGTCCGATATTCTTTCTGTCTATTCTTTTTCCCATTAAACTGCCTTTTATGCCTCTTCTTGAACATAGTCATCTTCTCTCTCCTCAGTTCCGTCCTCATCTTCTCAGGCTTTATGTTCCTTCATTCAATCCCTGCTTATCTGATAATAAGAATTAGTTTACCAGTCTGCCTTTTCCCTGTCTGACTTGGGGAGCTGGAAGTACTGGATGATTTTAGTGGAACTTAAACCTCAAATTACACATGTGTTTATGGAAATGTTACCTTACATTTCCAGGACCCTTGATTTTAAACAGGAGTCAGCTGCTGGACTCCTTTAGTAACTCATGAAAACCTAGCTTCAGATTCCTCTCAGCAGCTCGGATGGGAGGAAATTAAAGGGGAATTACAAAAGAAAAATCCTTTCCAAACATAGCAGTGTTATTCAATAGCTTAGAAATTTACTTCTCTTTTCCTGTTGGTGAATGTGGTTTCTTTTACTAATCCAAGCATTATTGTGAATAAACCCAATGGTTACTTTTGTCTGTGTTTTGAAGAAGAGCGGCTTGTTTAGAGCTTTAGTAGCGATAACTGACACATAAAGCTCCAGTATAGAGGAATACAGAAAGAGATAAACCTGCCTCCACAAACCATTAGAATTGGGGATATTCCACAGACACCTCCTGCTTGCTGTTAGGAACCATGATGACAAGTTTATGCTCCCTGTGGGTGCAAAGCAGAGACCTGAAGGACCTGCTGCTCATTAAATGCTTTGCTTCTCCAGTCCCCAGCTCCCCAGACATCCTCACCTGTGCACACATGTACAGACTTTGGGTCCCTGGCGACAGGCTCATTGGTACTTTGGCGATACACAGCGGCTGTCCCTTCACAAAGTGAGGAGAAGAAGCTAACTCAAGGTTGCTCAGGCTGAAAAGCAACTTCAAGCCAGTAGGCCACAGATTTTTATACTGATAACAGGAAATTCATGGAAGACTAGAGCAATGTGCCTGTCCGATTTGGGAAACAGTCCAAACAGAAACCCCTATTCTGGGTTTTGCATTAAGCATAAATCCTCCTGTCTGTGTGCTGAAGCATATGGGTTACTAACAGCTCAGGAACAGTCACACACAGATCATATAGCTGCAGTCATCACTTTGCAAATGCTTTCTATGCATTTTCCACAGCTTCCACGTTCAGGGAAAAGTAGCACTAGTGAAGAGTCTTCTTTCAAAGGCCTCACTGACATAACTTATCAATGTCAGGATTCCTTGTGAACTCACTGAGTTTCTTCAGGAAACACCAATGTATTTTCTATGCATGAGTCTCTCTGGAAATGTCGCCTTTTAAGATAGTTTTCTAAACCCTAAGGAGTTCAGACACTGAGCTTTATTAATACCTTTCTCTTGCAAAGTTCAGGGCATGCTACCACAGAATGAAATTAAATTTGAAGTATAGTCAGAAGAATTACCCAGCTAATAATGACAGTTCAGCTAAAATATTTGTTATAGAGTTCAACCTTCTATTTAGTTTCAAAGGAGTTCAAGGTAGTTGTTGGGTTTATTTAAGTAACAGGTTAAGGATATCCTTTTTCAATTGCAAAAGTTAAGCAAATACTGTCAAATATTACAGTTCATAGTAGTCTGGCATAGCAAAAATTTCACAGAATCACAGAACGGTTGTGGTTGGAAGGTGCCGCTGGAGCAGGTCATCTTGTCCAACCTCCCTGCTCAAGTAGGAACGTCTACACCAGTTGCCCAGGACCATGTCCAAAAAGATTCTGAATTATTTCCAAGGATGGAGACTCCACAACCTCCCTGGGCAAGCTGTGACAGTGCCCAGTCACCCTCACTTTTCTACTCACTCTACTCTCTCTCACAATTTCTACTTCACGCATCTGAAATTTCCCCCATACCTGTTCACTGCAGCAGTCTACCTCATGATTTACAAGGGGCGGATGAATGTTGGAGCACAATGCTGAAATCAGGGATGTTTTAGTTGAGCAGCTGACGCGGTAGTTTACTGAATGCATTTACTCTGTACTGCTGGTGTAAATGGGGGATGGTGTAAGTGGAGTCAGCTATGAAGTGGCGTGGTGTCAGCACACATCGTGGGAATGGGAGCCGTGCCAGCTGATGGCACAGCTCAGGCTTTCTGTAGAATAATTGCTTTGGGTGCAAACGGCTATTTCATGCTACTTTGCTTGCATTACAGCTATTTTTAAGCCACCCACAACATGGACACTTAGTATTTTGAACCTCCAGAAGGTCTGGAATGTGCTCAGGTCCCCCCTCTGGGGCTGTGTTTGTGAAACTGTCCCTTGATACATGACAAACTGGAAAGGCAAAGAAAAGGCACCAGCACGGAGCCTGTGCTGACAGTGTAAATAGAAATCTGAGTTCAGCGGACAAGGTTCACAGTTTGCAGTGAAAGGTCATAAGGATTTTAAGCATTTTTGGTATTTTGTCTCCGCTGTCTGCAC